CAGACACTCCCTGGCTCATGCAATTAACTGGAACCTGGAATTCCTGATAACATCTCTCTCCTTTTGGTCCTCTCCAAGAGATGTCTCATTAGAATGCTCTGCATTTTTGATCTCTTCTTTTTGTTCTCATGGCCTCTTTGATATTCCTGGGTCTCCCAACTCTTCGCCTCTTCCTATCACTTTTGCACCTTCTTCCCAATACTTCTCCAACCCCTTCCTTTATTCTGGGGCTCCAAACGCCACTTATGGCAGGATGACTTCCTTCACCGAATGGGGGCTACGCACTTCCAACCCAAGAGAACACAAACTGAATTCTGTAACTTTCCTGTTTGTAAGAATGATACCATCAGCCTACTGGTCTCTAGGGGTTAAAACTCTTGGATCACCTTTGATTCCTTCCTCTCCCTCAGTAATAGCACCTACCCCAGTGTTTCTGTGAGGCTCACCTGAGAAAATCCAGGTAAATCATTGAACACACAGGGCCTGATGCTGAGTAAGTGCTCCATAATGTAAGCTATTATTTGTTAATAGATGATTACTCACAGTGAATCCGTGAAGTAACTAATCCCCATCTCTCCCTCTTCATGTCTCTCAAAACCACACACACCATCCATTCTGTTCCCCTTGCTATGTCCCTTATCAAAACACATCACCTGCCATCTGGACCAGGGATAGAAACACTAAGACTCCTTGTCTCTAATCTCTTCTTCCACTTTCTAATCCATCTGGGATACAAGATCCAGAGAAAGCTAATGAAAAACTACCTTTGTGTTGTCATTCTGCTGCTCAGAAATGTCAACACTTTCTTGATGGCTCACCTGGAAACCAAGTTCTTCCCTTCCCTTGCCATACTCCATTTGCAGGTCTGTCTCCGATAACCATGATCCAGCCAGGCTGGAATGGGAAACCTCTGAAAAGTCTCCGGCCTCTCCCACGTCCGTGCCTTTGCAGACACCATTGTCTCAGCCTGGAAAGTCCCCATCGTCCACAGATTGAAATTGTTCTCATCTCCTAAAGCTCCCTTCCTCTGCAAAGCCACTTTCTGTGTTTCTTCTGTCTGTTTCTTCCTTGAACCTCCACTGCCCCGGCTTATCTTCTTCTCGTAGAGCTTATTTTTTTGGCTCTTACTTGTCCTTCTTTTCCCAGTAGGACCTCATGCAGTGCTTATAAGTAATAGGCACTTAATACATATTCATTGAGAAAACTGAACATCTTTCTCACTTTTAGGTGAGATGCACTTCTCTATTATTTGAGATGTATTCTCTGGCTGAAGAGATGACATGCATGGGATTTCTTTGGCTCAATCGTCATACCCTTTGACCCCTGTCTAATCCTTAGCTTGTATTTTTGCAATGTAATTTAATAGCATGCACCTCCTAATTCTTTTTGCTTAATTCCAAACTAACTTACTTTACTCACCCCAAAGCACTCCCAGTCTTAACCTCTTGTCCCAACTTCCTAATTTAACTGCTCTTGTACACGATGGTGCCTCTGAACTAAAACACTGAAGGGGAATTGCTCTTCTTCAAGGTCTGGTCTGTATCAGGGAACCCATGCCTTGTAGTTAAAAGTGTCATAAAAATTGACTGATAAGTAGCTAGAAGCAGAATGCTGTGTCTACACAAATTACATTGCATTGCAGAGTATAGTTTGGAAGTTCAAGCAAGAATTGTTTATGAAAATGCATGAACTTACCATAGCTTGACTGAGGATACCATATACTTAAGTCACTGGTAGAGCACTACATAAGACTATGCGTATTTTATGTGCATCTCAGTGACTGCTTTGAAGTATTTTTTGATTCTTTTCGTTAGGCAAGAGGAAGCCATCTCCATGGCCATGTTGCTGGCATAAGATGAACATTATATGTCAGCAACTACAGTATAATGCATTTATTTTGTGTGAGCACAGCAAACCACTTGAGAACACAATTTATTTTGTAGACACACTGAATTAACCCTTCAAGTACTGCCTCATGCCACAGAACTACAATTCTTGCCACATTATGACTTTCTGTTCTTATAATTATGCTCTTTATCCTGTACATGTATTAAGAATAAATTAGGGGCCAGGTACAGTGGCTCACACCTATAATCCTAGCACTTTGGGAGGCCGAGGCAGGTGGATTACCTGAAGGTCAGGAGTTCGAGGCCAGCCTGGCCAACATGGTGAAACTAAAAATAGAAAAAATCATCTCTACTAAAAATAGAAAAATTAGGTCAGGCGCGATGGCTCAAGCCTATAATCCCAGCACTTTGGGAGGCTGAGGCGGATGGATCACCTGAGGTTGGGAGTTCAAGATCAGCCTGACCAACCCTATCTCTACTAAAAATATGAAATTAGCTGGGTGTGGGGGTGCTTGCCTGTAATCCCAGCTACTTGGGAGGCTGAGGCAGGAGAATCACTTGAACCCAGGAGGTGGAGGTTGTGGTGAGCCAAGATCGCACCACTGTACTCCACCCTGGGCAACAAGAGCGAAACTCCATCTCAAAAAAAGAAAAGAAAAATTAGCTGGGCATGGTGGTGGGAGCCTGTAATCCCAGCTATTCGGGAGGCTGAGGCAGGAGAATCCTTTGAACCTTGGGGGCAGAGATTGTAGTGAGCTGAGATCTCGTCACTTCACACCAACCTGATCAAAAGAGCAAAACTCCATCTCAAAAAAAAAAAGAGAATAAATTACATAAAGAGAAGAAAATAAACTGCAAAAGTAAGTGCCTCTTTTATGTGTTCAGCAGGACCTTTATTTATTCTGTGAGGTCAGTGTCTCTTACATAGAGGAAGAAGTGAAACATTTAGCCTGAATCCCAAGAACCAGGAACTTCTCAACATAGTTTGCCCTCTCCCAGTGTAAATGAATTGTTCACTTTCTGAAGTCACTTTTGTATTTCTCCAGTGCAGAAGTATAACCAAAGTTTTCCTTTTTTTATTTTTTTTTATTTTTTTTATTTTGAGACAGGGTCTGTTTCTGTTGCCCAAGCTGAAGAGAGCAATGGCATTATATCAGCTCACTGCAACCTCCACCTCCCAGGCTCAAGCAATTCTCCTGCCTCACCCTCACCCAAGTAGCTGGGATTATAGGCACCCATCACCACACTCTACTAATTTTTGTATTTTTAGTAGAGATGAGGTTTCACCATGTTGCCCAGGCTGGTCTTGAACTCCTGACCTCAGGTGATCTTCCCACCTATGGCCTCCCAAAATGCTGGGTTTACAGGTGTGACCCATAGCGCCCAGCCTGTATTTGTTCAAATGATTTCACTTAGGGAAGAGAGAAAAATAGAAAATAGGGCTGGTCTACCTGCAGATGGGGAGGGCAGAGTGGCAGGGTAGACTTGCCTACTAGTGAAGCTAGACAGCCTTTGGTTCCAAACTTAGTACTACTGCTTTTCAGCTTAGGAGCCCTGGCAAATCGTGTGGCCTCCTGAGCCTCAGTTTTCATATCTGTAGAATGGGTATAATGATGCTCTCCTCATAGGAGTGCTTAGTGCTGAGTAGATCCTTAAGGAATGTCCGTTGCACTCGGATCCCTCTCCACCTTCCCCCAGATTCTATCCTCTTAGGAGGAATGGGTGTCACTGGAACATGAGGAAGAATTCCCCGGATCCTTTCTTCCCTTTCCTCACACAGAAGCCAAACCTCAAATATTCCCCCTCTGTCCACACCCACAGCAGCAAAGAGGAAAGTCAGGGATCTGGGGATGAGGGTGGAGGTGGCGGCCCAGGTTTCTCCTTTCAGCGGGTGGAGGCTGCAGGCAGACTGGCGGAGGACCTTAATCGGAGTCACAATAAATTGCCTTTCTGAGGAGCGGGTAAAGGGCCTGAGTGAAGCCGCAGGCGTTGAGTTTTATTGGGGGGGGGGGGTGTTCTCTTCTCGTTTCATTTCACTGAATTCCGCACCCCACCCTCGCCCTGCCCCGGGCATGGCACTGGGATTTGACCATAGCCCTGGATACCCGAGTAAACACCCAGACCAAGCTACAGGACTGAATGGGTCTTAAGCTATTATACTCCCAGTTAAAAGATTTTTAACCTGAAGACTATCTCGAGCTCGTTCTATGTCAGTAAATGACTCACTTACTGAAAACGCTGTAAACACAGGTGTATTACTAGCCTGCGGAAGACTTGGATGTCCCAGCATGATAGAAGGCCAGCTCTCTCCAGTCCAACGTTTGCAGTCTGCATTTAGACAGCTAAAGTTTAAAGATTAAGCCATTTGCCAGAGGACCGCAGTCCAGGGACTGAGCGGTACCTGGAAACCGCCATCGGTTCTCCCAGCCCTGCTCCCTCCGGCGCCACCCTCTTCCTAGGGGTAAGGGGAGCTGAGGCTCGCTGTGCTCACGTGGCTTTCAGAGCCCGCCTCGGACCCTGACCTGGTATTCCACTTTCGACCCCTCACTTCCTCGTTCCCCCCTCCTTTTCCCTCTCTTCCCAGGGTCCCGCAGGGCCTGCTGGATGAAGTGATGCCGGACACCTATGCATGCATGGTGGCAAAAGCAATACCAGAGCTCGCCCCTGCAGCGCTGTGAGGAGTCCCCGCTGAGGAGGGGGTGCAAACGGGTGCTGGGTTCGGGGGTCAGCCCGCACCAAGTCTGGAGCTGGGGGCGGAGCCTGCCGGTCGGGGGCGGGACGGTGGGGCAGGGAGGGAGGCTCGGGACGTAGAGACTTTGGAGGAGTCGGGGCCCGGGGGGCAGGAGACCTGCAGGCGGTAGCGGCAGGCGAGAGCCAGGCGGCGGGGCGCGAGCCAGGCGGGGCCGGGCGCGGCGGGGACTGCGGAGGTGCCGCGGGAGCCGGGGCGGGCGGCGTCACCGGAGGCGGAGGGGGCGGAGCCGCGCTCGCAGCTGCCACCCGGCCGCCGGGCCCAGGCAGACGCCACCCGCCCGCGGCCGGGCACGCACCGCGCGCAGACCTTCCGCGAACAATGCTCCGGCCGGGCGGCGGGCGGCCCGGAGACCTACGGAGGGGCCGGGGGAGCGCAGCCCCGAGGTGAGCCCGCGACGCGCTCTCCAGATTCGGCCTCTTTTTGTCTGGCGAGCGTGGTCTCAGAGGGGAGCTCTGGAGGGGCGCTGCGATGGCCGGGCGGGCGACCCCCAGGGTGACAGGCGGCCTTTCGGGGAGGGGGCAGTGCCCGGGCCGCGTGCGCCCAGGGTGGCACCTGAGATGGAGGGAGGCGCGAGGCCGGGAGGACGGGGGAGCCGGAGGGTGTTTTTGATTCATTCGAGAATCGCGCTCTTTAAAACGGGGAAACTTTCCTTAGAGTTCCAGGAGGGGGAACCGACTGTTAGGATGGTTTTTCTGGTCTTGCTGCTCTGTTTGCGGCCGGAGACTGAAGCGCTTTGAGGACTGCTTTCCACCGCTAGAGTATTGTCAAGGCGCACAGAGGGGAGGCCGCTTGGCTGCTGGGACCAGGACCCGGGGGTATGGTTTGGGAGTCCAGGGTAGCTCCCGCGTGTGCAGCAGCGGGGCTCCAGAGGGAACGAGATGATGCCCTTTTCTGGGGCCCCGGCTGAGCGCTCTGAAACGCGTGCTGTGAGCACGTTCTTAACCTTTGCTGGTATCTGGGGACACACACACACTTAGAACATAGAATCCTTTGCTGAGCATGGAGGCGGCCGGGCATTCTCAGCGGGGAGCGCCAGCTCACGGTGTGTGCATTTCTCTCAGGTAAGCTCAGACTGCACATGGTTTTGCAGAGCCGATAGCAAAGCCTAATGGTCTAGGGGCGAGGAGCTTTGCAATGCATTCAGCCTGGAGTCAGGTTCCGAAGGCTTTCCTGATCACTGGCTTGAACTGTTCTGAACAATACCCTCTCCCCTTCCCATTCTGAGAAGGAAATTTGACAGGAAGCCCTAGGGAATTCTGCAGTTATTTTGCTCTCCTGTGGTCTGGTTGGTTTCGACTGCAGTAGGTGCAAAACCACATTCCTCCCGCTGAGATGACATTACACAGCATTGAAGAGAAAAGAAGGAAAAGTTGGGTGAATATCGTAATTTGCCCTCTGTGTGAATGGGGAGGCAGGGGGCTAGCGGGTGTTAAAGTTGTCACTTTCTGCTTTCTGCCTGGTCAACTCTGGCCAGTGGAGTGTGTTGAAGTCCAGACACTTTCCATACATATTTCCTTTTCCTGGTGTTGCATTAATTTAATTGCGACGTGTAGAAAAAGATTTAGGTGAATGTTTCCTGGAATTCTGTCACTTCAGGATAAGGCATAAGTAATTTCTCATGCAACCCTGCGGGGATATTTGGAGCCAAAATATTTCATCTTACAGATCTGGCCACCTTGATACTTCAGATTCTTTTTTGAAATGGGGTGGGAGTGTATCTGACAGCTTCAGTCTTGCAAACTGTAGCCACAAATCTGGTGCAGAAGTTTGCAGAGGCAAAGACATTTTATCAAGACTTGGATCAGAAAGAATGCTGAGTTCTTTTTTCTAATCTGACACTGCAGCCTCCTACTGAAATGGGGGGATTTGCATAATTCTGGGGGCCGCCTCCCCTCAGAGGTGAGGAATGTGGGCTGGGAAGTGCCTTCCCCTTGCTGTGGAAAGCTGGCACTGCTGCACCAGGCAGGGCGAGGCAAGCTTTGTGGGTGCCACTTGTGTTTCTCACCATCTTTTACTTAAAACAAATAGGAGATAATTCCAGGCACAGGAGAGTTTTTTCTTTTTTTTTTTTTTTTTTAGCTGCACGAGGTGGTAAATTCTGTTTGCTGAGACTGAGAAACCAGTTTTAACAGGATGCAGTGAGTCAATGACAGCGGGAAGCCCAGGGCTTCATTTGTTCTCTTTTTATTCAATGACGTCCCTTTAAAAATCTTTGCATCCCCGGCAGTCCTGTGATGAAAGTGTGATGAAAGTTGCATGTCTAAACATCCAAGAATTTCAGAGCTGAGGATGGAAGCAAAGAGTGCTCGTAAACTAGTGAGACATTCTCAAGGAAACTTCCCCCACGCTAGCAATCCAGATCCTTCCACATTCCCAGGACTGTGCAAAGGTTGGGGATATTAGAAAGTAGGGTCTCTGGTACCAAGGTCACCCCTTCCCCAGTGTCAAGTGTTCTCACTTGCCTGTTGAGGAAGCATGGAGATGTTGCCAAGTAAAACTGCTGCTTTGTGAATCTGTGGTGGCCCCTGAGGAAGTGGTTGGGCACCCACCTCCTCAGATAGCCCAGCGTCAGGAGGAGCTGTGGGAACTTGCAGAGCCCACACAGAGCTGGTTTCCAAGCTGTCTTCCTCCTTCCCACTGAGCAGTCATGGGAACCTCTGCCTGCAGTGGAGGTGGGCTTCACAGTGTCCTTTCTGTGGCCTGGAAGGTGTAGGCAGTCTTCACCCATCCGCTTCCCAGGAAGGGACCCACTGCCTGTTCCTGAAGGCCGGAATACTTTCTCTGCTTTTTCCCTTTCCCAAAACTTAGCAGGAAGCCTACAGCTCTCTGTGACCTGAGATTCTAAGAGAAAGACAAAACCTGACTATGTTTCCTCCTCTTGTTGAAGCCCAGTGACCTCTTCTGGAGAACTTGGCAAAGAAGAAACCTGTTACTTGTGCGTATTTGGAGGAGGAGAAGAACCTAGCTAACAGTCTTCTTAAAAAAAGAACCTGTGAGACCCTAGCAATGATTGCTAAAATATACTCCTCTTTTATTTCAGAGGATTTATTTAGCTTAAAGATGCAATGGGCTTTATTCTTAACTTTTTTTTCTTAGATAGGGTCTCACTCTTGTTACTCAGGCTGGAGTGCAGTGGTGTGATCATGGCTCACTGCAGCCTTGACCTCCTGGGCTCAGGCAAGCTTCCTACCTTAGCATCCCAAGTAGCTGGGATCACAGGCACATACCCCCATGCCTGGATAATTTTTTTATAATTATTGTTTTTGTAGAGACAGAATGTCACTATGTTGCTCAGGCTGGTCTCAAACTCCTGGCTCAAGCGATCCTTTTACCTGGGCCTCCCAAAGTGGTGGGATTATAGGTATGCACCATCACTCCCAGCCCATTTTTAACTTTGGAGGGAAAAGAGGCACATGGAGCTTCGACACTTCTTGAATGAACACCCCTGTCTGTGAGTATGGAGATAGGAAAGAGAGCACTTCCCGCAAACACTCTGGAATGATCTTTGGGGTACCCAGCTCATTCCGCCTGATTAGTCCTGTTGACAGTTTATTAGAGATTATCAAACTTCAAGCAGATCCTCATGGGAAGAAAGTGGAGAGAAAACCCTAAGGCAAAATGTTCCCTGTTAATGAGAACCCATTCACCTTATATTTTTAAGGAAGATTTTTCTCTTGAACATTCTCCTTATGGGAAGTCAGTTTATTTTAAATAGGCTAAGAAGAGCCAGGAGCAATGTGCAGATCACCACTGCAGTGAAAAACTGCCTGCAAAGTTGGCTTCTGTTTCCAGACCGGGTAGACTCTCTGTGTCTATGGACTGGTACAAGTTCTTGTTTTTGCCGTAGTTTCCCCACTTATAAAGGCTCCTTCTCAATGGCAAATTTTCAAGGGACCATGGTGCAAACTGTCACTTGCAGTTTTACTCTCAGAAGCAATGAACTCTTTGAACAAACCAACTGCCCTCTCCAGAGCCATCACTGGGAAATAACTCTTCATTAATCTCTTCTCTCTCTTATCATTTATCCAGCCACCTTTGACCATGACTTTGTCTTGCTACTGTTTGCCCCTTTGGCCTGTAGCACCCAGCATTGTGGACCTCAGCATCACAGGGTCGAGTATTAAGCAATAACGTGTATTAAGCAAGGGATATTTCTCAAGATGCCAGACCTCTCTGTAAGGTCTGGAGGACAGGCTGACACCCCACTTCTCCCCTTTCCCTACCATTTCTACTTCTACCTGGTCAGAAGTGTGGATTACAAAGCTCATTTCAGGGCCCAGACCTGCCTCCCCTCTCACACAGTTCTTGGTCAAAAATTGCTGGTTATTTTCCAAAAGCCGTTGTTTTAATTTGCTGTACTACTCGAAAGTTCTTGTTTCTCTGAGTCAACATCCCAGACTCTAGGCCCCCAGTGGCAGGGAATACATGGATGAGGAACAAGCTTCTCATCTGAAACTGTATGTGATTTCTTCACAGAACTTCCCCAAACTCCAAGCACCCAGGATATTAGGGGACTGAAATGTCTTTTACGCACTCTTTTCATGGGACAAGGCTGTGTTTAGTTTTTAAAACTTCTGATAAGGCCACACCACCAGAGAATGTCTAAGAGTCTTGTGACAAATGGATGAGAGCCCCAAAATAAATGGGATCCTGATCCTTACCTTCCTCTTTCTCTTCCCTGATCAAACAATGAGACTCTAATTGATAATGCACCCAATGTCTGGCATGGCAAATCTCTCTCTCTCTTTTTTTTTTTTTTTGAGACAGAGTCTCACTCTGTCACCCAGGCTGGAGTGCAATGGCACGATCTCTGCTCATTGCAACCTCCACCTCCCAGGTTCAAGTGATTCTCTTGCCTCAGCCTCCTGAGTAGCTGGGATTACAGGCACATGCCACCGCACCCAGCTAATTTTTGTATTTTTAGTAGAGACGGGGTTTCAACATCTTGGCCAGGCTGGTCTCGAACTCCTGACCTCGTGATCCACCCGCCTTGGCCTCCCAAAGTGCTGGGATTACAGGCGTGAGCCACTGCGCCCGGCCTGGCATGGCAAATCTCTAATCAGGAAAGTGTCCTGCCTTTCTAGGAAGCGGTTCTGTGACCCACCTCTGAATCCCACAAGACCGCACCAGAGAGCCAGGTGCAAGATGAACCAGCACCCTGCCAGCCCAACATGCACCAGACCCTCCGCCTGAACCCCGAGAGCCCGAAAATGTCCGCGTGCAGTGACTTTGTGGAGCACATCTGGAAACCCGGGTCCTGCAAGAACTGCTTCTGCCTGCGGAGCGACCACCAGCTGGTGGCCGGCCCTCCCCAGCCCAGAGCGGGCAGCCTGCCCCCTCCACCGCGCCAGCCTCCCAGGCCTGAGAACGGCCGCCTGGAAGATGAAGGTGTGAACAGCTCACCCTACTCCAAGCCCACAATTGCCGTGAAACCCACCATGATGAGCTCCGAGGCCTCTGATGTGTGGACAGAGGCCAGCCTTAGTGCTGAAGTCTCACAGGTGAGGCTGACTAACGCCCGTGGTATTTTTACAGGGGCTGCTCCTGTTGGAACACTTGGTGACTGGCTGGCAGCCAGGAAGGCTGTTCCAGCAAGAACCCTGCGGGATGGCTTCCTCTCAGCTTGCCCTGAGATGGCTCTTGCCTGGGATTCGCTGTAGCTGCTCTCCTTTCTCTGTTCCTTTAGGCTAAGACCCATTAATCCAGTCCCCCAGAATTTCCTCCTGTGATTTGGAGACTGTGTAGGGCAGATGCAAATGAAGCTTTTTAAAAAAAAATTCTAAATTTTCTTAATTGATCATTTTAAATATATACACAAGTAGCAGTAATTGCAAAATGAATCCCATGTACCCAATACCCTTCAGTATGAACTTCAGCAACCATCAACTTATAACCACTTATTTCACCTCCCCCACACTGACCCCTCATCCCTGATTTTAAAGCAAACCCCAGATATCACATCATTTCAATACATACCTTTCAAAGATAAAGTGTTTGTTAAAAAAAAACATAACCATAATACCATTATCACACTTAAAAGTTTTTGTTTTTGTTTTTGTTTTTGTTTTTTCTGTTGCCCAGGGTGGAGTGCAGTGGTTCGATTTGAGCTCACAGCAACCTCCGCCTCCAGGATTCAGGCGATTCTCTTGTCTCAGCCTCCCAAACAGCTGGGAATACAGGCGCACACCACCATACCCAGCTAAATTTTGTATTTTTAGTAGAGAAGATGTTTCACCATGTTGGTTAGGCCGGTCTCTAACTTCTGACCTCAAGTGATCCACCCACCTCAGTCTCCCAAAGTGCTGAGATTACAGGCATGAGCTACCGCACCTGTCCCATTTTTTTAATTTTTAATTTTAATTTTATTATTATTATTTTTTTTGAGATGGTCTCACTGTTGCTCAGCCTGGAGTTCAGTGTTGCGATCTCTGCTTACCGCAACCTTCACCTCCCAGGCTCAAGTGATCCTGCTGCCTCAGCCTCCCAGGAAGCTGGAACTAGAGGTGCATGCCACCAGGCATGGTTAATTTGGGTGTTTTGTTTTGTTTTGTTTTTTTGGTGGAGATGGGGTCTGGCTATGTTGCCCAGGCTGGTCTTAAATTCCTGGTCTTGAACTCATAGGCTCAAGTGATTCGTCTGCCTCAGCCTCCCATAGTGCTGGGATTATAGGTGTTAGCCACCATCCCTGGTCCCACACTTTACAGTAATTCCTTACTAATATCTAATACCCAGCCAGTGCTCCTGTTTCCAATTTTGAAGCTTGGATTTTACCAGATTTTTTTCTAGAATCACTAAAAACAGTTACATCCCTAGAGGCTAGACCATTCTGCTCATTCCATAGGTAACCTTTACAAAAATGTAATTATTCAGAGGGCACATAGCCTGGGGCTGCTGGTGTCTGCTGTCTTTAGACACATTTAGGAAGCTGTGTGCCTAAGACGTATTCTAGGAACTGTTTGCTACCTGTTTGACCTCTTTGCCCATTCTAGTTTTTCCCAACCAATGTGGCAAGTAGGTCAGGAAGGCTGTGTGAGCATATACAAAAACTAAGATCAGTTCTAAATGAGGGGAGGCTTCACTGAGTAGAGGCATTTTTTTTTGGTTGCAATAAACTTGATGTCCCCTTCCAGGCTGCTCTATTTTTTTCCTAAGCTGGTTACACCCATTCTACGGACCATTCTCAATCCTTTCAACCTGTAACAACCTGAGCCAGGGACTCTTTAAGTTCAGAACCACCTGGGAAAGAAGCCAGAGGCAGGCCCTGCTTTGAGGCTGCTTCTAAAGGTGGGGGTAAGGGAAGACTTCAGCCTGGAAGGAGGAGGGAATGGTGACTTCAGGGATGGTGATGACCAGTCCACACCTCTATCTCATAGCCCAACCAATCCAACCATTCACACAGGCTCAGGCTGAGGTCACTGCTGTAAGTGGGAGAAAGAGGATCTCTGGCATAGTGGGAAGCAAAACCCAGAAAGAAGCAAGGTTCAGAAACCACCCCTGACCCTCCTGTCCTGCCCATACCACCCATCCAATGTGTTTTCCTTTTTTTTTTTTCTTGAGACAGGGTCTGGCTCTGTCACCCAGGCTGCAATGTGGTGACATGATTTGGGTCACTGCAACCTCTGCCTCCTGGGCTCCAGCCATCCTTCCATCTCAGCCTCCCAAGTAGCTGGGACTACAAGTGCACACCACCATGCCCAGCAAGTTCTTGTATTTTTTGTAAAGATGGAGTTTTGCCATGTTTTCCAGGCTCATCTTGATCTCCTGGGCTTGAGCAGCCTGCCCTCCTCAGCCTCCCATAGTGCTGGGATTACAGGTGTAAGCCATGGCGCCTGGCTCCAGTGTGTTCAGTGTGTTTTAAAAACACTTAAGACTTCGATTTCTTCAGAAATGCACTGTGATTGGGTTATCAAAAAACCCACAGACTCAAAGCAAAAATTAAACAAAACCCCAAACTCCATTTTCCAATCCTGTAGAACAACTTCTGTCTCCCAGCGGTTGGTTGCAGGGGAGGAAGAAGGCAAAGTGATCTTTTTCAGAGTTATATTTTTCTTTTCCTACTTCACAGACTTAAGCCGAAAGCATTACAGTCCATGGGCGGGAAGCGCAGCTCAGTGTCTGGGAAGACAAGTGGTTCAGCGGGGGCCCCAGCCATGATCAGAGGGCCGTGGGGGAGATCAGAAGGTGGGCGTGCACTGAGTCCCCGGCCCTGGCACTCCTGCACTGCACTACAGAAGACCATCTACAATGTCATTGCCCTTCCCTCTCATTTTTCCTTTCTCTTTTTATTCTATGACAAAATCTAATATAAGTCTTTTTGTGTTGGGCTTGTGTAGGTCATCTGGAGACGAGCCCCCGGCAAGCTCCCCCTCCCAAAGCAGGAAGATGCCCACGTTGTCTACCTGGGCAGCTTCCGAAGTGTACAAAAGCCTGCCGGTCCCTCTGCCTCCCCCGATGGCAATGCTCGCTGTCCCCCAGCTTACACCATGGTCGGCCTGCACAACCTTGAGCCCCATGGCGAAAAGAACATTGCCTTCCACCCAGTGAGCTTCCCGGACGAGAAGGCTGGACACAAAGAAAAACCTTCATTTTCCTACCAAGACCGGCCCTCTGCCCAGGAAAGCTTCCGCCAGAAATTGGCTGCCTTTTCTGGGACCACATCTAGCTGCCACCAGAGCCCCGCGCCCCTGCGGGAATCCCTGCCCTCTGAAGATGACAGTGATCAAAGGTGCTCACCCTCCGGGGACAGCGAAGGCGGAGAGTACTGCTCCATTCTGGACTGCTGCCCTGGGAGTCCTGTTGCCAAGGCTGCCTCTCAGGCTGCAGGCTCCCGGGGCAGGCACAGTGACAGAGACTGCTCACCCACGTGCTGGGAGCGGGAGAAGTGTGCAGGGTCCTCAGAGCAGGAGAAGCAGGGCCCGAGCTTCCCCAGGGAGTGCTGTAGCCAGGGCACCACTGCCCACTCATCCCGCCTGGGCCCCAAGAAACCGTCCCTCACCTCGGAGGCTGCCACATCTTCTGACGGCCTCTCTTGTGGCAGCGGCAGTGGGGCCAGTAGCCCCTTCATCCCCCACCTTGAGAGTGAGTACTGCTCCCTCATAAAGGAACCTGCCCCGGGGAAGCAGCAGGACCCTGGCTGCCCGGGGGTGGTCTCTAGCAGATGCCTTGGGCCGATGGGGGAGTCCCCGCCACCAGCCCACCCCAGGGAGGCTACACAGCCTGAACCCATCTATGCCGAGAGCACCAAGAGGAAGAAGCCAACTCTGGTTCCTTCCAAGCCACAGGCCAAGACAGAACATGCAGCAGCTGCCCAGGGCCAAGGCCAGGGCCAGGTATGGATGGGTAATGCCTGGGCCCAGAAAACAGCATCTGGTTGGGGCCAGGACAACCCAGACCCAGCTCCCCAGGTGGCAGCCACCATTACAGTCATGGCGACCCACCCAGAAGAGGACCATCGGACCATCTACCTGAGCAGCCCTGACTCTGCAGTGGGGGTGCAGTGGCCACGAGGGCCTGTGAGCCAGGACTCCGAGGTGGGTGAAGAGGAGACTTCAGCTGGGCAGGGGCTGAACTCCAGGGAAAGCCATGCTCACAGTGCCAGCGAGAGCAAGCCCAAGGGGAGGCCCGCCATTCCCCCCAAGTTGTCCAAGAGTAGCCCTGGAGGGTCCCCGGTGTCCCCATCTGCTTCCCCGCTGGCTGACCTCAGTGACGGGAGCTCTAGCGGCAGTGGCATTGGGCCCCAGCCTCCATCCCGAGGCCCTGCTGAACCTGCTCCTCCCTGCAGGACCAACAGTGTCACTATCAGTGACCCATCCAGGTGTCCCCATCCTGCGGCCTCCTCAGCCTTGGACCAGAGGCGGCCCAGGTTCCAGGCAGGCACCTGGAGTCGTCAGTGCAGGATAGAGGAAGAGGAGGAGGTGGAGCAGGAGTTGCTGAGTCACAGCTGGGGAAGAGAGACCAAAAATGGCCCCACGGACCGTTCAAACACCACGACCTGGCACCGTCTCTGCCCCACAAATGGTTCCTCTGGGCAGAACAGCAAAGTTGGGACCGGGATGAGCAAATCAGCCTCTTTTGCCTTTGAGTTCCCCAAGGACAGAAGTGGGATTGAGACATTCTCACCTCCTCCTCCGCCTCCAAAGTCGAGGTGAGTACTATTATCTGCCTGGAACTCTGTAAACAAGGCAAAGGGCTCCTCCAGAAACCTTTGCCCTCATGAAAGCTTTCAGGCCCAGGCCCCAGAGTCTGCCCAAAGGCCCTTATGCCTTTATGTAAATGTCCCAAGGTCCCAGTGCAGCCGTCAGAGAGCAGGAGTTGTGGCCCTTTTTGTACCTAGCAAACCTACATGTGGGGCCCTGCTTAGGATTAGGGATTTGAAATCAATCTTTCAGGGAAGCAGGACCAAGCTGTTGCCATTTTTTGGTGCTTGTATTATTATTATTATTTTTTTTTTTGAGACAGAGTCTTAGCTCTGTCACCCAGGCTGGAGTGCAGTGGCGTGATATCAGCTCACTGCAACCTCCGCCTCCTGTGTTGAAGCGATTCTTCTGTCTCAGCCTCCTGAGTAGCTGGAACTACAGATGTGCATGCCCACGCCTGGCTAATTTTTGTATTTTTAGTAGAGACGGGGTTTCACCATATTGACCAGACTGGCCTTGAACCCCTAACCTCATGATCCGCCCGCCTCGGCCTCCCAAAGTGCTGGGATTACAGGCGTGAGCCACTGTGCCCAACCTGCTTTTTAATTATAATAAAATATTTAAAGTTAGAGTTAAAAAAAATTTTTTTTAAAGATTTGGGGAGGCAAAGAGTTAATGCCAAATAAATGTGTGCTCAAATAAACTGTTACCACAATGGTGATTAGGCCTTGGGGCCAAAAGCAGAAAAGAGGAAGCTTTATACTGTACATGGTTAGGAACCCTCAGATGTGGGTTTCTAAAGAAAAAAATATATATATTTTCGTGTTAGCGTGCTGAAACTGTTTTCTCTACTGCTTCCCTGCTATCTCCTACCAGTTTAAAGTACTTTTCAAAGGCTCAAGAAAAATAAATGCTCTTTTTTTTAAAAGCTATTGAGCTGTGCATGGGATTTAAATGCTGGAAAAAAAATTTCTCTCAATTAGGGCAAAACTGATTCCTATTAGGAAAAGGAAAAACCTACTGTTTTTCAAAGAAATGACAGCTTTTCTGAATAGACTTTCTCGAGTCATGTCATTTCCAGTGGTTCTGTTTCAGCTGATGTGCCTCTGGGTTCATGTCAGAAACAAGGAAATTGACCACAGAGAGAAGCAGTCAGGGCACTTGACTTTGAACATCAAGGCGTCTCAGGCACTGATGGGATCTAACGTGGGCTTTTTCTCATGACCACTACTTTGTTCTGGTAATGCATTGGCCGCCCACCACGCAGAACAGTCATCTTCCAGATCCTCAGGTGATTGCAGACTCTTTGGCAGCCGCATGAACTCCCAGAATGAATGAAGGATTCAGCAGCAGCTAAGATGAGCTTCCGTTTATATGGCACTCACTATGGGCCAGGCATGGATTTAAAAGAGTTAGACATAACAACTCATTTCATCCTCAGAACAGCCCTAGGAGGTAGGAATTGCCAGCCCCAATTTACAGATGACAAAGCAGAGAGGGAGAGAGCTAGAGTAACCAGCCCAAGGTTCCTGCCGTACCTGGAAGACTCCTAAGTCTATGCTTCTCCTGAACTTATAGGACATCAAGGAGCATAGAAATCGAGCAGGGCATGAGAGTAAAACACCCGAATTGTATCTGGCTGCCTCAGTCCTGGGTAAATTAATGGAAAGCACAGGTATTGGCCCTAGAAAACCAAGTTCCTATTCCCTCTCTCTCATTTACAAACTGAGTGACCTTGTATAAGCCACTCACTGTAACTGAGTCTCCAGTCTCTTCTCCAGAAGAGTCTGTCTCTAAAATGAGAGTCTGGATTCTCTTCTCTAAAGTAAGATGATAATAGCACCTTGATAACACTCTGCTGCTGAAAGCCCCTAATGAGACGAACAACGGAATCCATGCAGAGGTTAGTTATGATGCAGGCAAAAGCCAGCTGGCTGTTGATTATGCAATGACACCCACACCCTATAGGAGCTAGCATGGCTCAATCCCAGGAATGCCACCTGAGCCTTGGAGAAGTAACTAAAACTTACTCCTTTAAGAATCTCAGGGCTTGGCGAAATCCCAGTAACCATAGCAACATGACTCAGGTAGGGTTTTAATTAGCATCTGGGTTGAGATCAGAGTTTTTTCAGCCCAGTTTGTTATGATAAAACCCTTAGATTACATACAACTCAAGCTCTGTGGGAATCTTGGAGGTTCTAGATTTTAGCTTTTAAAAAAACAAACAAATCAGAGGAGAAAAAAGAATTAAAAAGAATGGCCGGGCATAGTGACTTGCCTGTAATCATAGCACTTTGGAAGGCCAAGGCAGGCGGACTACTTGAGCCCAGGAGTTCGAGACCGACCTAGGCAACTTGGTGAAACCCCATCGCTACCAAAAAAGATATGAAAATTACCCAGATATGGTGCCACACGCTTGTCATCCCAGCTTCTCTAGGGGCTGAGGTGGGAGGATGACTTGAGCTCAAGAGGCGGAGTTTGCAGTGAGCTGTGATTGTGCCACTGCACTCTGGCCTGAGCAACAGAGCAA